GATTGATGAACAAGTATTCCATTTGACAAATTCTCAATCTGTAGACCAAGACAAAATTTTGTCTTGCCGAGATCTTTCATTTCAAATTCTCTTTTCAGACACTCAACAGCTTCTAAAAGCTCTTTACGAGTTCCAATGATGTTCAAATCATCAACATACACAGCTATTATTACAAATTCAGATCCCAACCGTTTAATGAAAATGCAGGGACAAATCGGGTCATTTTTGTACCCTTTCTTTAACAAATATTCACTCAAACGATTGTACCACATCCTTCCTGATTGTTTCAGTCCATACAGAGATTTCTGAAGCTTTATTGAACAAGTTTCTCTTGAATCTTTGTATGTTTCAGGCACTTTAAATGCTTCAGGAATTTTCATGAAAATGTTGTGGTCCAATGAGCCATATAGATAGGCTGTGACAACGTCCATTAGACGCATTTCAAGTTTTTCATGAACTGCCAGATTTATGAGATATCTAAAGGTGATTGCATCTACCACTGGAGAATATGTCTCCATATAATCAATGCCAGGTCTTTGAGAAAAACCTTGAGCAACGAGTCGGGCCTTATATCTCATGACTTCACCTTTCTCATTTCTTTTTCGTACAAAAACTCATTTGTACCCCACTGGCTTGATACCTTCAGGTGTTCGGATTATTGGTCCAAAAACTTCACGTTTTTCTAGTGAAGCCAATTCAGCTTGAATTGCTTTTGGCCAATCATTTCTCTGTCTACATTCGTTGAACAGATTTTGGCTCAAAATCTTCATCTTGTTGCGTTATTTCAATAGCAACATTATAGGCAAATATGTTTTCAATCACAATATTATTTCGGTTCCACAACTTTCTCGTCGAGACATAATTAATTGAAATTTCATTATTTTCAGAAGTTCGAACCTCATCATCATCATGTGTTATGACTTGGGTCTCATCTTGAGAAATTTCTTTCAACCCATGATTATCTTGATCATTTATTCCTTTTCTCTTTCGAGGATTTTTATCCTTGGAACCAATTGGTCTACCACGCTTCAAATGTGGTCTAGACTCATTTGCCTTAACAATTTGTCCCGTCGGGATATCAACTCGAACTGGAGCATTAACAGCTGGAATATGCGATTTAGTAATCCTTGGAAGATTCGTAAATGCATCTGGTAGCTGATTTGCAATGTTCTGCAAATAAATTATTCTTTGAACTTCTTGCTCACATCGGTTTGTTCGAGGATCCAGATGAGATAGAGATGATGAATTCCAATCTATCTCTTTTCCCAATGACTTATGTTCTCCCCCTAATGTTGGGTATACTGATTCATCAAAATGACAATCAGCAAATCTTGCCTTAAATAAATCTCCAGTCATAGGCTCCAAATATTTTATGATTGAAGGAGATTCATACCCAACATATATCCCCAACCTTCTTTGCGGCCCCATCTTTGTGCGTTGTGGTGGAGCAATTGGGACATACACCGCACATCCAAAAACTCTAAGATGGGAAATGTTTGGCTCTTGACCAAAAGTCAATTGTAATGGGGAGAATTCATGATAATTGGTTGGCCTTATGCGCACAAGTGTTGCTGCATGCAAAATAGCATGCCCCCACATAGACACAGATAACTTTGTTCTCATTAGTAATGGTCTAGCTATCAATTGCAGACGTTTAATCAATGATTCTGCTAGACCGTTTTGAGTGTGAACATGCGCAACTGGATGTTCAACAGTTATACCAGTAGACATACAATAATCATTAAATGCCTGAGATGTAAACTCACCAGCATTATCTAGACGGATTGTCTTTATTGTATAGTCTGGAAATTGTGCTTTCAATCTTATTATTTGAGCCAGCAATCTCGCAAAAGCCATGTTGCGAGTTGATAATAAACACACATGTGACCATCTTGTAGAAGAATCTATCAAGACCATATAATATTTAAAGGGTCCACATGCAGGTTGAATTGGTCCACATATATCACCCTGTATACGTTCCAGAAACGCAGGGGATTCAATTCCAACCTTAACTGTTGATGGTTTAATGATCAACTTTCCTTGAGAACAAGCAGCACAAGAGAATTCCTTTGATTGAAGGATATTTGGGCTCTTTAAAGTGTGTCCATGTGAATTCTCAATGATTTTGCGCATCATATTAAATCCAGGATGACCCAACCGGTCATGCCAAATGATAAAATCATTAAAATTAGTAAACCTTTTGTTTACTACGGCATGTGATTCAACTGTATTTATACTTGTATAGTACAACCCAGAAGAAAATGCAGGTAATTTTTCATGCACAATTTTCTTCTCAACATTAATTGTAGTAATGTAAAGGTATTCAACCTTTCCTTCATTAGCCGTCTCAACATGATAACCATTTTGGCGAATAACTTTGAAACTTAATAAGTTTCTTTGAGACTTACTACAATATAATGCATTATCAATGCTTAATATTGTCCCTCCAAGTAGTAATAAGGTCGCTCTTCCAGAGCCCTCAATTAATTTTGTACTACCTGATATTGTGTTGACATATGCCATTTTCATAACCAAATTAGAAAAGTATTTCTTTTCTTTTAATATTGTATGCGTTGTAGCACTATCAAGAAGGCATACATCTCCATTACTCATCTTGAATCCAACTAACAACTGGGGATTTCTTTGCAAGTAGCAACTTCGTGCTGATAACGTGTTGTAAAGAAAGCTCAGAATATAAGAAGAAAAAGACAAGAAGTATAAGATAGAGGAGATAATTTTCTTATTCAAGTATGTATTACAAAAGGTGAATGATATCTCTATTTATAGAGTTGAGATATCACCCCAAAGGCCCCCATGATAAATGTCCAATTAGTAGGTACATAGTTATCCAAATGATTCTTATCACCTTGGGAACATGTATACATGAATACAATTAAGTCTTGAGTAAATCTAAAGGACAATCCACACAATTCAATGGATTTATAACAATTTTTATTTAATTTCCATGAATTAAATTAGTTAAGATGAAGAAGTTTGAGCACCAAATTATAAATTTATGTAAATAAGAAGAAAACAGATGAGTGTCAGAGTTGCAATATATTGTTGCGTGCTAGAGTTACCATCATTTGCTACAAACCAAGAGACAAAGTGGCACTCCAAATCTCTAAACCTCTCATTAATTCTCTTGGAGTGATGAAACGTTATTTTAAAAAAATAATTACGAAAGATTGAAAATGTATAGTCAAAGTAAATTAATAATATTTGTTCAATAGTTATTCATTATTAATTTGGTGTATCTCTAAAATATATTAAATAATAAAGGTAATATTACTTTCTCTATCCAAGCATAGTTGTCCATTGTTTACTTAATACACCCTTAAGAAATAATATGAACAACTATTATTGGACGGATTTCATTAAATTTAATGCTTTAAAAATGTGTTAGATAATAAATCATATTAAATAACAAAGTTAAAATAGACACAAATGTAAATTATCTCTTAATTTTTTAAATTTGACAATTATTATTGGACAACGATTTTAGTATAGTAGACAACTATTATTGGAGAATCAGTAATGTTGTTAAGACAGTCAATAATTTACGGATGAAATTAATAATTTGCATATAATTTAAAGACATTTTCAATATTTTCTCTTTCCGAAATAGATTTCATTTACTTTTCTCTTTAAATATATTATAAGAAAAATTAATATAATCTTTCCTCCAATTTTATTTTCAACATTAACTACTTATTTACTAAATCATTTCTCAAGACCTAAGACTATACATTAATAAATATAAAATAGTATAAAGAAAAAATGAATAAGTATCCCCTCAACTTATGCCCAAAATTCCAGAGACACGCCGATATTATACTAAGTAAAATTTTAGCCATTTTTTATTCACACCAAAATTTTGGCCTTTTTCTTATCACACCAAATAACCGCATTAAAAACACGAATATAACGGTTTTGATATTTGATACACCCTTTTGGAAAACTAACAATCTAAGAGTCGAAATTGATAAAATGGACCAGAGAATTGGACACCCACCGCGGGTCAACAAAATAATTAATGGAGATCAATGCGAAAAAATCTTTGATTCTTATTAAGAATCAAGGATAGTACCCATCAATGGGGGTCATTAGGTCTTATAGCTCATTCTGCGAGCTCCCAAACCTTTCATAATTGTCGTAATAATAACACCATTGACTGTAATGAACGTCGAACCACCCTTCAACATTTAAATACTCTTCAGGGAGTCATTAATTCTGAAAATATTTTTCAAAAACTAAATAAAAGATCATGATACAGTAATTTTAATAAACAGGAGTAATTATTTGTGTCATAGGAAACCACGAATTGTGAGAAAAAGTGGCATATGACGGTACCCAAAGTTGATTGTGTAACCACTTATTATTATTATTTTGCGTCAAAAGCAAGTTGTGAAGTTCACAATTCACATGGCAATCCCAAAAAAAACAGAATGTCATGAATTTCAGATCTGACTCAGAAACCAAAGGTTCTCGAATCTGCCCCCCCTCCCCCCTCCCCCTCTCTGAATTAATCTGTCTTTATTCTCATATTTCTTTTTTCCAATATCAATAAATAAATATAATTGCATGTTACCTATATACCAGATTCATATGTATTTGACTTTATTATACATGTATAAGATTTAGTTATCTTAACTTGTAGTATGGAGAACATAATGATGAAAGTGATAATGTAAAATTTCATTCAATCAAAACATGAAACATAGGTCGATTTGTCTAGTAGATCCCTCTTTTCTTTCTTTTTTTTTTTCAATTCTAAAAGTTCAAAGCATGGGATATTTGCGGAGTGAAAAAAAAATCTTCAAGAATCATGGTATATATTAAGAGAATAAAAATATCGAAATCATATTTAAATTTGGTGTAAGTTGTTAATTAGTTTTGTCTTTAAACTATTGACACATTTAAAAAAAACCATCTACTTGATAATCTAAACTTAGATACACCATTGATACCCCAATTTGCACATCATGATATAACAATTGTTTTTAAATTTTTGTAGAAGCATGAGACTCTTAATTAGAAACAAAAAAAGTGCTACAATACCTCTAAATTTAACGAAAATTTAGAGATATATTTCACTCATTTTACAAGTTAAAAAGGGGAATATGTAACTTTAATCAAAGTAAAAAAACGTTTTGACGGATGACAATACCAAGTGCAACGCCCTCATCCATCCTCAAAACAAGATGAGCTATCCAGTCTGAAAACAAGAAAAAGTGGCAAGCTATAATAAACTTTTTTTTTATAATTAATTCAGTATTTTCCTAAACATAATAATCTTAATAAATTATGACAAAAAGTATGATGATAGTCGTTCATGGTAATAGTGTTGTGTAGTTAGTGTAAGAATAATAAAGAAATAGAAAACTCAATTACCTTGTTTGGCACGCGTCTCCTTATTGCAGCCCCCACACCTCAAGCCGTAACTAACAATTTTTCTCTTTCACCCTCTTTTTTCCAATTTCCACCCACATATATGATGTGATATATATATATATATATATATATATAATGACCCTTAAGCTTTAAGCACAAGTACCTCTCCATTTCACTTTCCCCAATTCTCTCCCAATTGGATCATGTCTAGAGATCTACAATCCCGGCGACCTCTTTCTGAAATTCAGTTACCAAATATCATCTCACAAAATGAAAATATCTCTAAAGATCATGATCTAGAAAGATGTAATAAGGAACAAGCTGTAGAAATCCGAACCCCTGGATCTCCTCAAAATTTGATCCCTAAAATTCTCAGCTGTCCACCGGCACCTAAGAAACCTAAAAGGGGAATCTCATGTAAGAGGAAATTACTAAGCGATTTGGAGTTTTATGATGTGACGGCAAGAGAGGAAGTAGATTCCTTCTTCAGCTCGGTTGATGAGAATTCTAAATCGTGTGCTGGTAACAGGAAGAGAAGGTGTATTCTGTAAATTCAATAGGAATGAATGCTTTATTGAGTTCCTGATCGGCCGGCCGGCAGGCATAATAAAATATTCTCCGATCGAACCAATCGATCGATGGAGCAAAACACAAGACCTGAATCCTGATGTATGTATCTATTTTACACATATATTCTTTTTCTTTTCCTTCAATATTATGTGAATTAATTACTCCATATTATATTTCGATCTGAATTTTGAATTTTGTTCTCCCTCTCGGAGATCAATTATCTGTACTATTTCATCTTCCTTCCTTACTTTTTAATGAGAATCCAAAAATTTTGACTTAACACTAATTTGCGGTTTCTGGGTATTCAATTTGGAAGAGTATAATAATGTGTTCATGTTTGTCATAATTAAGATGAAGATAGGTAATGGTTGGAGTGATTGATACGTCTTTGATTTTTCATTTTCTTAAAGTGAATGGAGAGAGAAATTTGTTGTATTCATTGATGTGAACAAAACTAGACAATGTGCTGTCTCAACGTGGATACCATTATATTTGTCCCTATTCGCTTTTTCATTTCCAACCTTCACTCTTGGAGTTATTCCAATACCAAAGTATTTCACTTTCAATTGAGAATTTACAACTAACACTAGTACTTTGCATAATTAATTAACTTTTACTCTATGTCTACTCTAATATAAATTGGCGAGGGGTATCTAAAATCAAACATAGAACTCTCGTTATTGTTATCCTATTCTTCTAATTAAAATGCTAATATAAATCTTGATTGATTCTTTAATTTAAGGTTGACTTAAAAGGGGAGAATTTAATTTTGTGTTTTGTTAATCTGAATTATGCTGATTTTTCTTACTGTTTAATCTGTGTTTGCGTGTGAAAATATATTTATCTATTGATTTGTTCTGAGTTGTGATGATGGGTCCAAGAAATCACGGCGTGACTAGTATTTTAATATTACCTATAGCTACTTCAATTATTGGTTTAGTGTTTGGTGTAAGTTTAAAGATGGTTAATTTGAAATGTGACTTTTAACTCTTTTTTTTTTTAAAAAAAAAAGAAAAAATAAATTGTTATCCTATTGAATTGTGGATAATATTCAATGGGCTATGACTGGAGTAGGTGTCTGGATGATTTGTATTGGGGAAATTAAACAAGGTTTCTAGAATAAATCAATCAACTACACCCACCAACTTCTTCATTTAATTTTTCAATTGAATGTTATTCAAAACTCATTAAGCAAAATTAGTTGCTGCGGTCAAAATGAATTGAGGTGGGTTAACATCGAACTAACTAATAAGTTTTTGAATGATTTTTTTTTGGGAAAATTGTATATAATAGCAAATTAATAACTTAAATTAAATGGAATAGCTAGGGTTTGATTTAATTGTGATCCATAGCAAACATTAGCTAAAATTTGTCAGCGTCTCTCTCCCAAAAATCTCGCTTGCCACTCTCCATTCTCTCTCGCCTCTCTCGCTTTATACACAGAAGTGTATAATTCTGTTTTGTATAAAGCGAGAGAAAATTGTATATACACATGCAAAAATGTATATCTTCGTGTTATACACTTAATTATACAATTTACAAACATTTTACTTCAAATATTGCAGAGAAAAAGGCCAACGAATTATACAATTGCAGTGAAATACAATATTCTCTAGCTTTATACAACAGAAGTATATATATATTGTGTTTCTATTTTTGTATAAAGCGAGAAAAACATATATCTTCTTGCTATACACTTATAATTATGCAATATACATACACTTTAATTCGATTCAACTGTATGCAAAACAAATTATACAATTGCAGCGAAATAGGCCAGCAAATTATACAATTTAGGCCAGCGAATTATACAATTTAGGCTAGCGAATTATACAATTGTATATGCATAGCAAATTATACAGTTTTATGTTTACTATGGAGCGCAATTATGCAAAGTTTGTTATAGCATACAAATATGAATTTTTTGTTTGCTATATGTGAAAGTTTTTTTTTTTTTTTTTGCATTATTGAGTTTTTGGTTAAATAATAATTTACTAAGTTAGTAGTAATTTAATACTTTATTCTGATATAAATATTAAATATTATTATCATTATTTATTGATTATTATATTTGCTTTTAGCTTTCAATCATATTATTGTCTTAGTTTTTCTACTTGTGTTGCACTTATTTAGTTCCTTTCTCGATAGTTGTTATTCTTTTTAGTTACTTTGTAAAGCTACGTAATTGTCTTGTCCTATTAAACTGTTGGAGAAGGCATATATTTTTATGAGCATGTTTTATTCATTAAATTGAAAATCGAACAGTTAAGAATTAAAACAAATATAAATATCGAATTGATTTGGTTATTGATTTAGTGATTTGATAATTGAAAATTGATAACACATGAAATCGAACTGAACCAATTTGGTGCACACCTCTAAAATAAATAAACTTAAATATAGATAATTCGTTCAATTCGCTCATAATTTAATGGATTGAATTCAATATAATTTAAATTGGGTCAAACTCAATTCATTCAAGTCATAACTCATTTTAAAAAGAATCTTCACTTGAACCCAATTAAATTTTCAATTCAATATTTTAAAACTGCAACTAAATTAAAGTGTACGTTAGCCCGCGATTTGCCGATATCTATACATGGTGAAAATTATTCTTGAAAATTGTAGCACGAATGAAAAATAGAAAACCATTTGTTTATCTATTAAACTTGTGCACTTTTTAGCTAGCCAAGAGATATAAGAAAGAAAAAAAAAACATTAATGAACAAGGGAGCTATAAAACAATAGAGATAAAATGATTAATGTGATTTATGTTACTAGCTACCTTAGCAGAGATTTGTAAAATTAAATATGCCATGTGCCGATAATAATGATAATTAATAATAAATAAATTTAATAACTCATATCCTTGATTTTGTGTAAATATACCATGTGGCAATAATAGCGGAACAGAAGAATTGGATGACAATGAACAAAAAGGCATTTTTATGGAAAATGAAATATATCAACATTTAAGTGGTCCCAAAATTGACTTGACACACATTCAGGACCATCTATATATTTATTTATTGCCTAATATTTGCTCATTAAGGCGTAAAATTTTATGCTCCAACTGTTAATTTGAAATTACAACTGATTACCTAACCCTTAATTAACATTTATTCCTCATCAATCTTAATCAGCAACAGCTTCTATTCTAGTCTTAAACCATAAACCAAATGGAATAAACCACAAAGATAGATACTGCATCGTGTCTTCAGGTATATCTGATTAATTTCACATACTTTAAAAGTATATTCAACTCTTTTTAAAATTTAATTAGGTTAATTGATGGGTGTTGTTATAAGAAGGAAAACTTTAGATATAATATTAAACGTAAGGGCATATATAACTTAACTGTTAAAAATAAAAAGTGCCGTTCGATGTAATAAGTTTCAATTGTGAAGAGAATTTGGAGAAGGACGACCATGTCACAAGAGTTTATTGTATGCCGTCTTTCTGCAAGAAATTATTTTCACGGCCAATAACTTTATCAATTATGTCAAGACTCTTCTTATCTACACTATTAATTAATAACGGGCACACACATATATATTTCTGTTTTATTTTGTTTAATTTAAGAGTATGTCTGATCCTTTAATGTTGTTGTTCAGATCAGAATGAACATCCAATACTAGAAAAAACGTTTTATTTATTGATCAAAGAAATTAGAAGAGTAGAAGAAAAACAAAGAAATTAAAGAAAAAAGAAATTAGTTAGTTGAAAAAGTAGAGAGGAAAATTAGGGATGGAACAGAAAACACCTATGGGAAAAAGTTAAAGAGGAAAGTAGGGCTGCAACTCAAGCATCTTGTACTTATTGTGGCAAGAATATTATGGCTCTTATCTTGTGTGACAAGGAAATTTTGATAGATGCTGTATGATAATTAGTATGTATAAAGTAGAGAAAATGGTGTCATATTCTTTGTATATCATGTAACTAGTCAGACATGTTCTCTGCATTATATACCGGCTAATTACCCATTACACCTCAAATTATTATCCACATTTTCTAGATGAAAAAAAGTACTCCACCTACATGATCCCTTTTTTTTTATGTTGGGTGTATGTTGAAGAGATGAGTGCTATTATGTTGTAGATAAATAAAAGGGAAAATAACAAATATATCACTGAATGATCATAAATAAATGATGTGTTCGTTATACTTCAAAGTTATTCATACGCTAAGTGATAATCTTTTGGATTGTATTTATCCTTGTAACAAAAAGAGGGTCACAAATTTAATTTTTACCCACAAATTGATAAAACTCACCCATCTACCCATCATCCAACCCACCCACAACCCACATAACTTAAACCCTCAATTCTTCACAAAATAATTTTTTAGTTTTCCGGTATGAGCGACTACATTCACCAATTACTGGTCAATCATGGTAGCCATTGACATACCTATCGCTGCCGGTAAAGAAGACGACAATCTTGGTGGTTGTAATAGGTGTTTGTTCTTGTGTTCTGTAGATTTAGTTTCAGTCTTCGCTGCCTTTTCACTTGTTCTTTACGAATCTCTTATCTGGATGGTTTAACTTGTGTTTTCTCTTGTAACCCATTTATGATCTATTGATCTTTTCTCTCTGGTAAACCATCTGAGAACTTCTCTTCTCTTTGGTGAACCATATGAGATCCATAGGTTGCTTTTTTTTTTGTGAACTTCCATTGATAGCTTCAACTTACACATCATTAAAAGTAAATATTTTGGAATATGAATTATTTTTCTTCATTTTCAGGCTTTTTGGGTTGTTCAATTTGTTTCACTTCTTTGATTTGTTCTTTATTTGTGTTGCCGATTCATATTGGGCATTGTGAAATTCAAGAGAGCATCTTTTATTTTGACATTGTGAAATTCAAGAGAGCATCTTTTATTTTGACATGTATGAGGAGTCATCAAATTATTCAAAGTCCGATCGCAGGGGATCAACGACTAGGTTTCGCGAGATTGAAGTTGTGAAAGGTTACATATGGAT